TGCATGCCTTGGTGCAACTCGGCCGCGTCAATCGTGCCCGATCCGTCCGCGTCGAGCTCTCTAACCACCACTCGTCGAGACGGCATCTAAGGGCAGCCACGCAAACAAACGTACTGGAACAGCGCGGCCAGCTTGTCCGACGCCATGCGACCTCGCAACACGGCGTGCGTGGTCTTTCGTGCGACAAGCTTGGCGCGCGCCTGGTGGACTTCGCGCTTCTCGACGTGAATCGCACGGGTCGTCGTCTACACCGGCAAAAACCATCCATGTCGGCCTGCTGTCCCATGCACGCGGCGCGCAAGACGGCGGCGGCGGCGGCGGCGAAAACGAGCCGAGACCAGAATGCGATCGTACCTTGTCCACAACGTGGTGAAACGAGACGAACTTGCATCCTTTTTGCGTGTTGGCGAGTCGAAGAAGCTCGAGCGCGATCGCGCGCTCGTACGGGACGTCCATGTTCAGATCGTACGCACCCTGCCGCTCGATCAGCGACACGCCTAGCGACAACTCGACGGCATTACCGTCGCGTTGGACGGGTCAAACCCGCCCGAGTCTTCCATGGCAAAGTTGCACCCGAGCAGGGAAATCGTAAGCGCTTTGTTGCATGCCGTCGAGATCGCATGGAGCAGCGTCATCCCGCCAATGCGGCCGAGGGGGTTGCCGTCCATGGCGAGCAACGTCAGCGTGTCGTTGTGGTGCAGGCTCTCGGCCATCACAAACGCCGCCTGGCTCGGGATGTTGTTGTTTGACATGTCGAGCGATTCCAGGCACATGTTGTGCTGGAGCGCGCACCCGATCGCTTGCGCGCCGTCGTTTCCGAACGCGTTGTAGCTCAAGTTGAGCGCCTTGAGCGCTAGACGGCGCGCGGGTGACGACGATCACGATGACAAGCGGACGTACTGTTGTTTTGTGCCAGCGCCCGGCCCAACTCGACGGCGCTGTTGAGTCGCAAAAAGTTCCAGCTCAGGTTGAGCACCGTCAAATGGCCGTTGGTCGCGAGCATCTCGGCGAGGGCTTCGCCGCCCGTGACGAGGTCCGGCTGGACAACGTTGAGCGCTTCGTTCGCTCCGATCAGGTTGCGGCTCAAGTCGAGGGTGTGGCACGTGCGGTTGGTGCACATCGCGCTGGCAAACGCGCGCGCTTCGCCATCGTCTACGTGTGTGTGGGTGGCTTCAATCACGCCGCCGCCGCCGATCGTACCAAGGTCGCAATGGCTCAAGAGCAACGTCGACAAACCACACGTTGCCGTCGCCATGTACGCGGCCAGCGCGGCGGCCCCGTCGCCATCCACTTTGTTTTCCGACAAGTCCAACGTGCACAGGTCGGGCTTGTTCATCACGGCCTGCGCGCGACGTGAGTTTTTGCGCGCCATCGAGACAACCACCGCACGATGACGACGTCGTCTACGTACACGAACAACGGCCGCGATCCCTGCGTCCGTGAGCCGATTGTTGCGCAAGTTTAGCGAATGCACCATCGGCAGCTCGACGAGGCACTCGCAAAACACTAGATCAATCGACGCGCGATGACGTCGTTGCGAGCGCGCGCGCGTACCTTGCACGAGCTCGTCGCCCATGCTCATGTGCGACACGTTGATGTCGGGCGATACCTACCATGGCTTGTCGTCGGCAAACGCGGTGTCGACCGCGCGCACCTTGCTGCGAATGATGAGCCGCAGGCACGGCGGGAGCTCGTGGTCGAGACACAGCGACACGAATTTGTGGCGCGCGGTGAACCCGTCGCCTCCCCATTCCGTCGTCGGTTTGTTGTCAAAGTAAAACTGCGACATGAGGTCGAGGAACTCTGGAAACTCGATCGTGCCAGTCCCGTCCAAATCGTACCGCGCGACCATCTGCGCGGCGTCGTGCACCGTGAGGGCCAGGCCCTGCGCATGCATGCCTTGGTGCAACTCGGCCGCGTCAATCGTGCCCGATCCGTCCGCGTCGAGCTCTCTAACCACCACTCGTCGAGACGGCATCTAAGGGCA